TATTTTATGTCAACAATATTACTTCATACTGAGAATTAAATATGCACTTACATCCCACTCCCATCAATATTTGAAAAAAAAAAAACAAACCAAAAACCACATCAAGTTACCTACCCCAAATCTTTACCACTGTTTACTATTCTCCTTTTTCATGGGGATTTATAATATGAACACATGCCAATTCAGGAAAAAAAAAAAAAAAATATATTCTTGTTCACTATTCATAAAATTGTAAGATAACTGAAGCTGGACATGACGTCAGCAGGTCTCTAGTCCAGCATCCTGCTCAAAGCAGGGTTCATCGATGGGGTCAAGCCAGGTTGCTCAGGGCTGGTCTTGAAAGCCTCAAGGAAAAGTGGCACCACAACCACTTTGGGCAACCTGTTACAGAGCTTTACTGTCCTATCACAAAAAAGTATTAACTGGGCACTGAAACCAAGGAAGGATACACACTGAAAAGAAATTGCTGTTCTCTGTGCTTATCCAATGAGAAATCAGTGTGACACCTTGCATAATTTTTGTGCTGTTAACAGAAAATGGTGAAATTAAGATAATTTGATCTCCTATATTTTCATCTACACAGCATCTTGTTGCACTTTCAGCTCCTTGCTTTGCATGAACATGGACACAAATAGACCATTCCATTCCTCTTTGCAGCAGTGTTATGTATTTGAAGACTATTTACCTATTTCTTTTCAGCTGATTCTACACTAAGTAATCTTCATTCACACAATCCTTCCTCAAAGGTTATTTGTTCCTGAGCACCAGTCATTCTCAGTGCTCTCCTGTCAAAATATTTAAGTTAAAGCCTTACAATATCCAATAGCACAGCACTATTTAATTAGTGTTGCAGACAATATTCCACTTTAAAACAGCTTAGTATGAGTCTTTCATTTGCAATGGCTTGATTTCCTTGACCTGTGTTCAGCTTCTGATCCAAGTAATCCTCAGATTTTAATTTCTGAGTAGATAATATTTGATTTGGTTTTTCGCTGCACAGATTTATTTTCCCCTACAGGTAGGTTCCTTCCAATTTTCTTTCTGTGTTGGATCCTATTTTTTTCAGACTACGTCTCTGATTTGCCAAGAATGTTCTGGATGTTAAACCTTTCTTCTAGTTATTAGCAGTCCCTCCTGTCTTCTTAAAATCATAAAGTGCCATACTCATGCTTACAACCCCATACTGTGAAGTCACAATTCTGAACAGTATTAGAATGGGAACAGATCCACATCATATAGTCTGCCTTCCTGGCAGCAAACCAATTAAACCTGTTCTCAGAATATACTTTTTCAGTCATGTTATAGAGAGGTAGACCAATGTTTGCAGCTATAAGACTATCATATAAGGCATTAAGTCATTATCTAAGCAACACAAAGAAAATAGAATACAAAGGAGATTTAAGACAAATTTACAGTGAGAGTATATTTCCTGTGGCTGGATACCTTTCAGTTTAACACCTGCACATGTGATCTATAGCTTCCCTTACCACTACTGGCTTGTGTAGTGGAGAGCCAAGCTCAACTAAGACCAAAAGAGGCAGAACGAAACTTCGAAACTTCTGGATTTCTCAGGGAGAACCTAATGTGGCAAAGAAACTTTTAAAGAGCCTAAAAGAATCTCCCTCAATAAACTTCAGGTGTGTTCCGTATCTTTAATTTACCTGTGATCACTTACTTTGACCTGTACAGAACAGTTGAGGTTGGAAGGGACCTATACAGGTCATCTGGTCCAACTCTTGGTTCAAGCAGTTGACCATAGTGATATTCTACATTTGGAAGCTGAAGTCTAAATTGCTTTAAAGATACCATTATGGAGATGACTACATGGTTATAACAATTCATAGAATCATAGAATCACTATGGTTGGAAAGGACCTCTAGGATCATCAAGTCTAACCTTCTTCCCAGCATTTCCCTAACCACTAGACCATAGCCTCAAGTGCTACATCTACTCATTTTTGAACACCTCCAGGGATGATGACTCCACCACCTCTCTGGGCAGCCTGTTCCAGTGCCTGACCGTTCTCTCAGTGAAGAAATTCTTCCCAGGATCCAATCAAAACTTCCCCTGGTGCAACTTGAGGCCATTTCCTCTCATCCTATCATCAGTAATCTAGGAGAAGAGACCAACACCAGACTCACTGCAACCTCCTTTTAGGTAGCTGTAGAGAGCAATAAGGTCTCCTCTCAGTCTCCTCTTCTCTAGACTAAGCAACCCCAGTTCCCTCAGCCGGTCTTCATAAGGCACATTTTCCAGCCCTCTCACCAGCCTTGTGGCCCTTCTCTGGCCTGTGTCTCCCTGATATGCCCAGAGCTTGCTTTGCCAAAGCATAACATTGCACAATAAAAGCTAAAGTCAGCTGGTTTGGATTTGGTGAATCTAAAGGTACAAGGCTGAATTGGTTTCAAGCATTCAGTCCTATGGAACGATACGGTCACCAAAACAAAAACATAGCATTGTTCATTTTAATGTGCCTCTGCAGAGAGTTTGGAATGGCAAATATCCTGGTTTTAGGCAGCTGTGTCCTACTCTAGGTGATATGCAAAACCAAGTGTGCAAACGCTATCTTGTTCCTTAGCATGGAAGATGAGGCAGAACTTGTTGTACTAGGAAAAATAAAATTTTAAGTTCCAGGCCTCTTAATCATCTTTGTTACAAACAAACTAGTACAGCTATTTTGTGATGTTATGTTAAAATCCAGAAAGTGTTGATACATTTTTAATACTGGAGTTCAGTACTGGAAACTCAGCATTGTTGTTCTTCAGTGAACATTAAATTAAGTAACTACCTTAGCCCAGACTGGACCCTACTTCCTATAATCTTAAAACACATTCTTTCCTCACAAATCATGATGTATAGCTTCTCATGAGACTGTCCCAAATTATTTTTTGAGTGAACTCTGGTAAATAAAGGTCCTTCCACTTAAATATTTCCTTTCATTTGAAGGACAGCTGAATACATCGCTAATAGTTACCTCAGAAATACTTTTAAATGGGATAGGTTAATTAACTTCTGCAGTTACAAGATAATAAAGGAAAAAAAATAATTAAAAGTCTAAATGTGCCGACTCAGCTTCCATATAAGAAAATTATGACTACCAGTGGTTGGGTCATTTTATCTCTCACTTAAAATAGGGGAAATGAAGGAAAGAGAATGGCAGTAACAGCTGGAATCACGTGCCTGTGTCCAAACAGAATTTATTCATAAAACTTGAGGAAAGCACAGCACAGCTGCACAGCAATTATGGGGGGGAAAAAAAAAAAAATTAAAGAAATACACAAGCCCTTCATAACTGATGAATAACGATACCACCAAGGAAATAAGATCTGTCAGTGGAATTAGAAACACTCAAGCTTAACAAGTGCTTTTTTTTTTTTCCTTTTTTTTTTTAAGAGGCTGAATCTTCATATTGTAAATGTTAGTTGCTATGGATGCTGGTTTTTACATCTGATACTTCTTTCTTCCTGGTTACTGGAATACTCCCTCCTGAAAAAACCTCCACAATTTTACATCTGCTTATATTCTGTTAATCTGTAACATGCTCTCAAATATAAACACTGGAAAGCTGGTTGACACTTCTGAAAGGTATGGTGAGTGACTGAGTATACCCGTGTCCAAAGCAGCCTAACTCACAAATATATTACTCTAAAATTCAGGAGCTGGCACCTACTCTCCATTTTCTTCAGTCTGAATATTGCCAGAATAGTGTTCTTCATCTTTACTTTATATAAATTCAACACAAATGATTTTCTGCACCTTTTTCAGATAGTAAGAAGTACAGAGAAACTAACTGTGATTCAAGAAAAGACTCTTAATTCAGGTTGACTAATCCAAATCAGCCAAAACTAGTAGAAAAAAAAAGAAAAAAAAAAAACAACCAAAAACCAAAAACAGTAACCAGGCAGTAAAATGGTTAGGAGCTGAATTTTCAACCATAAATTACCACCATTGTTACTTTAATTCCTAGTATGCAAGCTAAGAACAGGTTCTTCCTTCTACTTGGCCTTCCACACAGACTTGTCTTTGATCACCTGTGAAGACCTGCTTGTCTGAGGCCGCACAAGATTACACTGCATCATCTAGAGTGACCCAGGCTGGTATTCTGTTAGTCAAGAAAGCTTTCCACAGGGCTAGTTTATTCCCAATTCAATGCAGAAGCTTTGGAACTATTTCTGGTTGCTGCTAAGTATCTGCAATTAGGACAAACTGCTTCAAGCTCCGTTTCCAATACGCACTGGTGAAGAATAAGGAAATGCTTCTCCTGAAATTTACCCTTGGAAATGTTTTATGGCTGTAAGGAGATTGAGAATGTCCTCAGGGCAACAAATCAGTTGCTCAGGCAAAGGGACTGAGCTTCAAGCCTGAGGAAGAGGTAAAAGCATCTACATTCAGCATGGCCGCTAGCAGTCAAGTCAATTCACTCTGACTCAGATGCGTGCAGGAGACAAAACTCATGCTAACTACTGTGTTATATACACAGAAGTATATAAATTAAAATTAAACTTTTTAAAACGGCAGTCAGTTATGTTACAGCAAACGTTAACCTTTGCTTTTGCAGTAAATTTGTGTTCTTAGGAAAAAAAATGTTTAAAACATTTAGTAGTTACAATCAACGCAGTAAGTTTCTATAAAAGTGCATTTGTAATATAGAAAAGAAATAATTAAGTACTATAAATACCTACACATCATCTCATCATCCATTTCATACTGTATAACTGAACACCTGGTTACCATAGAAATAACAATACTGGAGTCCAGTGGCTTCATTATTACATCTCTTGTTTAAAAAATCTCCATTTCTAAAAGAAGCACTGATTACACTGATTAACACATATAAAAATTGGGGTTTTTTTAAGCATTTCTGGAATAATTTACATGGAAAACCACAATAATTTTATTAATGAAAGCACTAAGGAAGACCTTCAGAACAAAGCTCTACTTGGTTGGCCATATATCAAATTGTTAAACCAAAAAAAAAAAATATGGACAGAATAATTTACCTTTTCACCTTCTTCACCTTTACTCCCCACAAAGCCACGTTCACCCTGGAACACAAAACAATCAAATAAAAATCTCAAACATAAATATTGATAACTTTTACCTCAGAAAAAGATCTTAATGTACAATATTACCATGATAATGTTTTTGTTAAATAGTCTGCAGCCTGGCTGTATTACAAGAATAACACCTGCTTTAGATATTTATTAATGTATACTTGTATGTTTTGTGAGACATACAGCCAAAATTATGTACTTGTAGCACAAAATCTCCCCAATTAAAAAACAAAACAAACAAACAAACAAAAACACCAATCAACCACAAACATTCTCTTTCTCCCTCAAATCATGTAGCAGGAAATGGTTTATATGTTTTTGCCAATATCTAGAATTCAGTTTCTCCACTTCAGTACAATGCACATGATTTTTACAGGTCTGAATATGAAAAGACTGGAAAATTTCCAAAGTAAAGCATATGGTATTTTCTAAATTAGTTCAAAAAATTTCAATGAGCAATGTCTAATCATTCTTAGACCCTTCAGAGAGTTAATTTCCTTATACAAAAATCTGAGGTTTAAGTGAAGTTAGCTAGAACAGCATTCTACAACTTGAAAAACTTCTAGCAGCATTTTGTCAAATCTTTCTAATGATAAAGTATCACATACCACATATATGGGAATTAAATTCAAAGCTTTAGAGATGTGCAGATGTATAGATTATCAAATAGTTCTAGACTTTTCATCAACCACCTACAGTGATTGCTTTTAGTTTGTGGTTTTTTTTTTTGGCTGGGGTGTCTCATGCAATCAACAGCTTAGGGCTCAATTTCAGAAGCAGGACCAAGATCAAGTATGCAAAATGGGATCTGGTGGAATAACCTTCCATATGCCTTAATCTAAAAATGAGTAGTTAATTACTGAAAGAATTTCTGAATGTATGCAACTTCTGTTCTACTCATCAAGTTTTGCTTTCTCATAGAAGGTTGGATCAGATGAACTTGAGGTTACTTCCAACCTAGCTGGTTCTATGATTCTACAATTCTCACTCTTCTCCAGCTGTTGGACATACATCACAGTTAATACTTATTTACCATTGACAAATTCCTAGAAATGTTTTCTTCATTTAGTTTTCCTATTTGTGAGACTGCATATCCTGTCTTTAGCTCAATTCTCAATTCATTATATAAAAATTATTTTTAGAGGAAAAAATTTGCCTGGTTGTAGCTTGTGTCCATTACCTCTTGTCCTTTCACTGTATACCTCTGATAAGAGTCTGTCTCTGGCTTCTCTGCATCCTCCTAGTACTTACAGATGACAAGTCTGCACATCACTCTCCCCTTCTCCAAATCATCTCATCTTAAGGCTGAGCAAGCCCAGCTCCCTGAGCCTCCCCTTGTACATCATGGGCTCTTGGTGAGCCTCCACTGGGCTTGTCCCAATTAGGCGCTCTTTATCCTCACCTGGGGAGCTCCAGACTGGACACAGAACTCCAGGTGTGTTCTCACAGGTGCCAATCACTGCTGATCTGCTAGTCATGCTCTTGATATGGCAATCCAAGTTGCCGTTGGCCTTCTCCACCACAAGGGCACCCAGCAGTACCCCCAACTCCTTTTCTGCAGAGCTGTTTTCTAGCAATTTGGCACTTAGCCTGTACTGTTGGCTTGAGGCTATTCCTTCTCAGAGCCACAACCTCACGTTTCCCTTCACTTAATTTCATGAGTTCTGCATTAGTTCATTCCTTCAGCATGTTAGAAGTCCCACTGAATATCATTCATCACTCTTGCCCTACCTTCAAGTGCACTAACTACTTCCCCACATTTGATAACATCCATGAACTTGCTAAGATTCCCATCATCCAGATTATTAATAATGACATTAAATAATACTGGTCCCAGGATCATGCCATGGGGATGACACTAGTTACTAGGTAGCAGTTGGACTGCATAGCTGTTATTCCACCCAAGTCCAACAATTCAACCAATCTTCCACCCACTTTATTGTCCATGTATCCAGTCTATATCTCAAAGATCTGACTACAAGGGATATGACTGGAGAGCGTGCCAAAGGCCTGGCTGAGACCAAGATATACAACATGGTATGGTTTGTCTCAATGATCTTAAAGGTCTTTCTAACCAAAATGATCTATGATTCTAACATCCACTGCTCTCATCTAAACCACTGACAGTCATCTTATATAATCACAGAATGATTTAGGCTGGAAGAGACCTTTGAGGGTCATCTAGTCCAACCTCACTGCAGTGAGCAGGGACATCTTTAATTAGATAAAGTTGCTCAGAGCTCCATACAACCTGACCTTCCACGCTTCCAGGTATGAGGCATCTACCACCTCTCTGGGTAACCCATTCCAGCATTTCACCACAACATTGTGGAAAATTTCTTCTTTGTGTATCTAGGCTAAACCTACCCTCTTTTAGATTAGAGCTATTACCTTTCAGCTTGTTGCAACAGGCCCTGATAAAAAGACTGATGGCATCTTTCTTATAGGCCCCCTTTAAGTACTGAATGGCTGCAATAAGGTCTCCCTAGAGCCTTCTCTTCTCCAGGCTGAATGCTCCAACTGTCTTCATAGGGGAGGTGTTCCAGATCTCTGATCATAGTTGTGGTCTTCCTATGGATCCTCTTGAATAAGTCTATATGTTTCCTGTGCCAGGGACTCCAGAGCTAGATACAGTATTCCAGGAGAGTGGAGTAGAGGGGCAGAATCACCTCCCTTGAACTGCTGGAGATGCTTCTTTTGATGCAGCCCAGGATACAGTTGGCCTTCTGGGCTGCAAGCACACATTGCTGAGTCACATCCAGCTTTTCATCCACCAATACCTTCAGTTCAACAGGGCTACTCTCAGTTATTTAATCCCCCAGCCTGTATTGATACTGAGGATTGCCCCAACCCAGGTGTAGAACCTAGCACTTGGCCTTGATGAACATCACAGGGTTCACACAAGTCCACTTCTCAAGCTTGCCCAGGTCCCTTGGGACAGCATTCTATCCCTCAGATGTGTCAGCCACACCACTCAACTTGGTGTCAATCTAAGAAGCCCTTGTTATTATTCTTTGAATCCCTTGCCAAGTTCAGCGCCAGCTGTGCCTTAGTTGTCCTGACCCCATCCCTATACAACCAGGCAGCATCCCTATGGTCTTCCACCTGTCCCTGCTTCCAATGCCTGTGCAGTTCCTTCTTGCCTTTTAGCTTGACCAGCAGGTCTCAATTCAGCCATGCTGATCTCTCGTCTTCTTTTCCTGATTTCTTACACCTGGTAATCAAGAGCTCTTGTTCTCTATGGAAGGCATCTTTAATCATCTACCAGCTCTGTTTGGCTCCCTTGTCCCTGAGGGCCATTTCCCAGGGGGTCCTACTGACTACTCCTTGAAGAGCTGAGAGTTTGCTTTCCTAAAATTCAGCATCCTGACTTTACTCCTCACCATATCCCTCAAGACTGTGAACTCCACTCGTACGTGATCACTGCACCTCAGGCTGCCTCCAATCTTAATAGAGTCAATTAGCTCACTTGCATTGGTGACCATCAGGTCCAGTATCACATCCCCTCTGGTAGGGCTGTCTATTAACTGGCTTAAGAGGTTATCCTCCATGCATCTATCTGTCTAGATCTTTTGCACATATTTGATTTTTAAAAAGAATTTACTAATTAGAGAAAATAAGAAATAAGGTCAGCAGAAAGGGTAGAGAAAGAAGTTCAAGTAATTTCCACTTGACAGCATCAAAACTAAACCAAAATTAGCTACTGGTAAGTTACTTCAAAAATTCAAATGTAGAAATAAAAATGTGGAAGTTGCAAAATAATTTACGACTGACTTCAGTTGTCCTGTCTGTGGCAGAATTCTCATATTAAGTTAGGCAAAACATTTCACACAAGCTTTTTCATGGACAATCACTGATAACTCATTTTGGTTCTCACTGTAGGATTGCTGATCTGATTTTCATTTTTTTAAGTATAATGGCAGTACAAGTCAATGAGATCCTGGCTTTGAATGTGTAAACTGACAGATTGTGGTAAGTCTGTTGCAGAACTCGGTGCTGGCTACCTCATCTGCAGAAAATAAGCTCCTTCCATCCCTTCATACTATATTACAGGACGTTTCTGCCCTGAAGATACACAAATCAGCCCTTTGCATCAAGGTCACACTGCAGAGCACTTTGCTGAAATTTTAATACAAACAAAAATATTTCTTTTTTTCTCTGTGTAGTCCCTTAATATGTGGAAACAGCAGAACTATTTCCCTTACAGTTTTCTAAAAGGAATTAGCTGGACAGATGCATGTGTCGTTAGGATTTTATTCCAAATCCTTATGGTTAAACACAGCTGCAATCAACAGAAAAAAATCTGACCATGAAAAGAGTCAGGTCATTTTAACAAATACTACCAGCAAGGTCTATCATACAGATGTCTCTTTTTGCAAGTTCTGGCCTTACTACAACATCCCACCTCTGGAGAGGAGCAAAAGATTAAAATGGAAAACTAGAAGAAGCAATGCCATCCCTCATCTCATTTTGCTGAGATCATAAGAACGCCCAATTTCAAATTTTTGAATCTGTTACCTTGTGGCTGGAAAGACCTGCACAGTTCTGAGACTTAGGCAACTGCTCTGAGCACAAAGTAATACTGATAGGCAGGTTTGTGCCACTGCACCACGTCTTCTTTCTCTTCTGATAGAGAGGTCAATAGTCAAGCTCCTCTGTCACATTGTTCAACTCAGAAACTGGATATGTAATTCAAATACAATATACGTAGATAGTGGACAGCTGCCAAAAAGGATGTTGAGAGTGAAAATGCATAAAATAAGATTCATTTGGTGTTTGTGTTTGTTTTGGCTTGGTTTTTTTTGCTTTGATTCTTTTTTTTTTTCGTGTGTGCGTGGTTTTTTTACCTTGGAACCAGTAAGACCAGGTATGCCAGGCGCACCTACTAAGCCAGCTTCCCCCTGAAACAAAATGTATATAGCCATCATTTTACAGACCTAACTCATGACTGAGCTCAATTAGTTGAAAAAAAGACTTCTGGACATCTAGAC